ATTTTGTACTATCTATCTACTTACAAGTAAAACTCAATAGAAAGGTATTCCCTAAGGAGCCTCTCACCTTGCGGCTTGCTGCCATCCTATCTGGAGGGCTAACTTGTCAAGACTGGGCTAGTGCTAAAAGAAATTTCAAAAATATAAAATGAGTCAACGATGTTATTTATCCAAACGTTCATGTAGCTGTTTACCAATTTTGTAAATTGACTTTTGATGTGAAACTCTCTTTCTGTGAAGTGACCATCTAGGGTGGTTGTGCTGTACCTGACCACTCTTTCTTTTTTCCTGGTGATTCCTGCCTTGTGTTTCTATTCTTGAAACTGTTTGCATCTGTCAGTCCATATCTCATGGAGGTATTCAATTGTTTGGATTCTTATGTCTATTAAACATTGGGTTCTAGAGTGTTTTTCTGTGATCACCTCACTGATTTTATAGAAGGTTCTTTTGAAGATTGCACCCCTAATATAAGCTTCAAGATATGGTGTGGAGTCTAGGTTCAGCTCTACTGTTGTGGAATTTCTGTTGGGTTCTTTTGGTTTTTGTTCCTTGTGCGTATTAATACTGTTTATTATGATTTTCTTGATTTTGTTTCGTGTCTTTTCTTTTTGTGCCTGGCAGATAAAGGGGTGGGTACATGTCTCAACTTCTGCATATTGCAGGTATTTATTGTCTTGATAAATTGTTGATAATCTTTTGTTTAGTTTTCCTTTTGTTGGCAGTTCATTGTTTCCTAAATTCAGACTGAACCTTCTATATTTTTGGTCTTTTTAGTTTGTTATGTTGTTACTCATTTTGGTGTATTGCAGATGGTCGGTTGTTATTTTCCAGTGGATCTGTGAAATCATTAGATCATTGAAGTTACATCTGGTTCTATTCAAAAGTCTTCATTTTGCTAAGTGTATCGCCTGGATTATTTGCTGTGTTGTTTCTTTCAGCAGGATGTCCAGGTTTTGGTTGTTCCACTGTGGAATGATTGTTGGATATTTACATGTATGTGGGTGGATTTCTACAATTTTTTCCCCCGGTTTCATGTCTTGAATTTGTGCTATTTGTGTTATTTGTGCTAATTTATCTGCTTGTTCATTATATTCTATCCCTGAATGTGCTTTTATTTTGAGTATCTCCACTTTGATGCTCTTTCTTTTGCAGAGATGTTTGATCTGAATAAGGAGATTTGCATTTTTTTGTGTATTTATTATTTTGTTTTCTGTAGTTCCCATTGTTTTATTTATTCTGTTTATAGCTGCTTGGCTATCTGTAAAGATTCTGGTCCTGCTGTATTCTGGCACAACACTAATTGCTATAAGGATGGCTGTAATTTCTGCCCTTGTTGATGATGGATGGTTTTGGATTTGACCTTGGAATTTGAATTCTTTCTTGTCAGGGATATGATAACCCATACGAAGCCCATGTGGAAACTCTTATTAATTTTTGTGAGTGATCCATCTGTATATATATTAAATATTGCATAGCTTTCCAGTGCTGCAGCTATATTTGTAAGTTGCTCTGAGATCTGGACTGTTGTATTGAAGAGATGTTGTTGTCGCTTTGTCTTTTCAGGTATGCGTATTTGGAGTTTTTGTTCTTATGTCATAATTCCTCTGGTGGTAAGTTCCTCCAACGCTATATTCATTGAGTTAGAGGATGCGTGGTTTCTCCACCTTGCTGACTGCTGAGTTATTGCCAGGACCTTTCTGCATGATACCTTGTTTCTATGTATTTGGATGTTCACTGCCTGTTGTTTTGCAACAATGAAGGTACACTCTGTTGCTTGTTCCAGGTTCTGTTGTATATTTTTTGGACATCCAGTGCAAGCCTGTACTGAGGATTGCTCTTCTTCTTGTGTATAGTGTTTGTAGAATGTGTCATTCTGACCACATCTTTTATTAACATATATACTGTACAGATTTCGCAGATACATCGGGCCTTCCTCTCCGAAGTCATAATTGAGGGATCTGTATAAACCCTTATTACATATTTGTCAACAAGTAATTATACATTTTTGAAGTAAACCTATCTATATAAGTAGCTATATCTA